TAAGAAATTAAAAGTTTTCTCTGGAGCAAACAGTTCTTTTTTTCTTTTTATCCAATCTTACTAATTGAAAAAATTTAACATACTTATCAATGACTCTGCGTTGAATAATACCAAACACTTGATGGTTGGACGCCCCTAGACCCACTCATTCATAATCGGTTACGGGCTTCTTGCCAATTTTGAATGAAACGTTGTAGCTTCCGCAGTTTTTAACCTAAACTCACAAATTTGGTACCAATCGACGCAGAATTTAATTCGCTAGGAAATCATATAATATTGTTCTCATACATTAAAGGGTTGTTCTACTAGAAAGGTTTACCAAAAAATTGCCTTTATAATTGGCTACGACATATATAAACTGAACTCTTTCTGAGAATCCCATCAGTGGATCAAATCGCCAACCCCCGAATACCCCTGGGCTGCACTGAATAGGAATGAATGATCCTTAATATCATATTGTGGATGTTTACGATTTCAGGCGCTGCTCACCTAGCCGAGCAATTGCATGGTCATCACTCCGGGCCGTCCCCTTTGTTGCCATTTTCAGTCCATTTGGCCTCGGCCCACGAAAAGAAGCAGTATTTGTCAGAGATATCCATCCCCCCAAACGAGCCATTCTTCGATTCTTCCTTGAAATGATTTTCCGAAATGAGATGAGTATTCGCGATCAATCATCACCAAGAAAACCATGCAAAAATAACTCACAAATCTGCGTGCCGCTTCTCGACCTTTGACCGTTTTATTATCCCTGAAAGAATTAAAGAATATTGAATGGAGTTTTGCGAAGTCTGGGGAACACACATGAAAATACTGAGATTATTGTTCAAACTCGGCCTTTTATCACTCACCAACTTCACACGAACTGACGGCTTTCTTTTTCCTGAAGTGCCACTTTTTTTGTGATGTGATCGTGATTTGTATTTTTTTTGCGTCGTGATGATATCGATATGGGTCCGATCGTTGTGCACCATGTCCAATCCGTGATAGAAGAGACGAGCCTAGTGCTGTACATAATAAATTGAATAAATGAAACCAACGGCCGTCTCGAAATGATTTAATAGCGCGGTAGCGCAGCTGCTCGTAACTCTCCAATTAAAAATTGTCACTTACGGCTGCTGTTCTGATGTGCTTTTGGAGAAAATGCTTGAATTCCTTCTCGATCTCCTTCCAACATTCTCTCATTTAACTCTTCGATTCTCATTTTTCGTTTTTATTTAAATTTTCATTTTTTATTGTTAACGTTTGTCGATAAATAAAAATATTTTCCACAGTGCAGCTTTTGTGTTTTCTAGGTTCTAAGACATGCTCTTTCCAATAGAAAAAGAATAATAGTTGCAGCGTTGTTCAAAATGCAAAGATCTTTAATTTATAGAGGGTGCGGTTAAGAATTGGAACGTACTGTATATTGTAATGGAGATTCTAAAAAGATTAATGAAGCTATTTCATTTTATCGTTAAGAGCCTAAAACAGATGAAGGGAGCCGACGCCTTTCCTCCATGGAGCATCGTTTTCTCAGCTATTCTCAGCTAATTCCTGTAAATCTTATTCATCCTATCGAATTGGAGGGGAATTTCAATCGATGAAACGAGTGGGAGACAACAACAATCGGAAACAGAGATAGTGCAGTGATAAATCAAACATTTTTTGTGTATTTGTTAGCGAGAAGTGAAATCCGATCTCCTCAATGCGAAACGAAAACGAACGATAATGTGCAGTTGTGTGTTTCCAGAAGGCTGAATAAGATTGGATCATTGGTTCTTGTCCACAGAAAGGAACACGAAACATTTATAAGAATTAAGAGCCCCTTTTGCAGATAAGACCAGACTGATAGTTAGAAGAATAGAGCGCCCATTTCTCATCGTGGCTCCGAAGCTGAAATGTTTTCATGTCTGATGGAAATCTATTGATAAAACACTTTGCGTTATTTCACAAAAAGAAATTTGCTCAGATTAATCGAAATATTTTTGGGAATCCTTGAGAAATTCAGAAGAGAAGGCAATTCGAGAAAAAATTCCGAAGCGAGCCAAAGAAGATCAAAAAACGATGAGCTCGGCTTGATCTGGATGTAAGTGTATAGTGTTTTAGGGCATTAGCTCTTACTAATGATCAGTTTACTTTCAAATATCGTAGTCTTACTTTTCTAGCTTTAACAAGTCGAGGAAGAACGATGAGGACGAGGACGACGACGAGGATCCACTCATCAAACCACAATCAATTTTACTCTTGGCTCAATGTACGTCCAAAGGACCAATAGTTATGCGAAAGAAAACCGTCGACTATCACTTTTTCAATCCAACCGATCTGGAATATAAATTGGTCAAGAAGAAGATCAAATCAATTCATTTTCCACAATTTAGATGCTTGCAATGATACATCAGTGATTAACAACTCCACGTTTCTTTAAGTATAGTATCAAAAATCTGGTGGGTTCAATTGGACATCAATGTAAGCTTAAAGAATTTAGACTAGACATATTCAAAAGCATATCGATGCTAGGGTTGACAAACTCGGTTCAAGCGATAAAGCCTCAAAAATGACAAGAAAGCTGTTACGCTCGTTGAAAGATGAAGGTGAGTATTGAAAGTTAAATATTAAAACGAAATTAAAACTTTTAGAACATGAATGGAATGCGGAGATTATTGAAGCTATTTACACAAAAGTTCGGCTTATTCTGGAAAAAGGTGAAATCATCACGCAATTTCGAAATCATCGATATTTATTCACTTCCGAATAAAGGACAACGTTCAGCCATGACGACGCAGCTAAGATCCCGGATATCGACAGAATCACGATCAATTTGTGTAGTGTCAAACAGACAACAAGAAATAGTAGTTCATTACTTTCTAGATCAAAATAAACCGGCAAAGAAGGATACAACTCGATTCACTACCCGGCAATCAATGAGTGGGTGATTTGAAGAATATGGCTCGAAAACCCAAAACTCACAAAAAGCCATCTGTTCATCTTTTGCCTCCACGTGCCAACGACTACACGGCTCCCGGAAGTCCCCTCGAGAAATTGTGAGTCGATCCGTGCAATTACATGGGCATCAATGACCCTAACGGTCGTATTCACAATTCTCTTCTCCAGATTGCCAAAACATTTGCCGGAGACCTAAGAAAAATTTCATTAGTTTCGACCATTCGCAGAGTGATCAAGCCAAATTTTGCCGATGACCTCAAGAAGAATCCGGCTCCGATTGGTGGCAGAGTGCTACCGGATGGCCAGCGAACCTTCAAGAATAGTGACGAGTACAGCCGTCAACTGCCCGAGATTCCTGGATATCGATACGTTAGGTTTGTTTGAATGTTGGAAAGCTTTAGCCTATCTATTCAATCTAGCTGTCTATCGCGTTCCGGACATCGTGACCACCGCATTGAGGGTTTAGGATTCAAAGCGGATGGTCGTCCTGTTGTGATTCCCGTCAAGTCCGAGCACATCTATCAACATTCGGATTTGGGACACGGGGACAAGCACCGCTTAAGTGAGTTCTCCAATGCTTTTAACCAGGGGGCAAAGCACACTATCGTTCGCTTTGCCCGCTGGCTGGTCCGGAGACCCGTGAAAGTCTGGAGATCGTAGGATCCATACATACATGCAAGTTGTACGTAGCAACAACGATATCAAATTTAGATCCCCCCGAGATCTGTTGCACCCGGAAAAACGTCCTGGCGATAAAATGGGTCACATTTGACCTAGAGCCGAAGGAGGCTCCGGAAAGGTCCACAACATTTTCTCCGAAGATGGACCGGTCAGTGAAATTAATCTTGACATGCTCATTTTGACATCAGTTGAATCAAGGACCCGGCGCGAGGATGGAAGCTGGAGCTCGCCAAACACGGAAGGATAATCCCCAAAACTCGGTTTTTGTGAAGGTTGGAGAGAAGCTATCTAGATCAGACCCAAACTATTTAGCATCATTTCGACGTGGGTGCCGGAGAAAATCGGTTCCGAGCTTCCGGATTCAAGTGGGTTGACACATCGAAGAGATCAACTAGTGGAACTGTATCCGCGTTCTTGACCAACTTGCAACATTTAGTTATCAAATCGAATCGCACAAACACGGCGAGGACAGCATCGATTCGGGATACTTCAAGAATGGCGACTTCTAAAGAAAGTGATTGATGATCATTGTTCCAAAGCATCCTTTTCCTTACGATCATTTATAACTACCCGCAATAATAAAGTTCTTATTCAAACCCACACGGGTTTCTGTCTTTTGTGATTCCCATCAAAACTTTGTTCTATTTAGAGTTCTTCTGAATCTTTAGGCACTTGAGCTAATCTGCAAAATGATAACAGATTGATCGCTTATCGATCGAACCACGGAACGCCGAGTTTTCGGTCTATGCCGTTATTCTACTTAATTTGGACTAATAGGGACTCCTTTGATTGAAAAGAGATCTTTGTGAAAATCAAAGCGATTCTCGAACAGCATCTCTTTCGCCGTATCTCTTCACTCGCTACTCGTGCTTCAAACAGATAAACAAATCAAACAGAAACAGATGTACAAAGAAATTAGCTACACGTAACTCTTCGCAAACGTCGCTGAGAACATCACGAGGCAAATGAATGGGGAATTTCGAATGAAATCCATTTTGATTGCTTTCAGTTTGACATCACTAAGGGCCACCTTACAGAACCAACAGTGAGTCGAAAAAAAGCATAAATCGAATTTTTGAGAACTTCCGAAACAAAAATCAAAGGCAAACCGACGAGTTGGGGGTCGAGAAGAGCGACCTTCACGAAGAATTGTCAGTTCCCTCATGCTGATGTCCATTGATGTTCAACACGTTTGTCTAATAGTCTATTCAGGAGCGACGAGAGAGCAAAATACTTGCAGCTTTAGGCGGAATTCTGGCAAAACTTTTATATGAGATTTTAAAGAAAAAATTCAGAAATAAAGAAAAAGATAATGTGCAGTTGTGTGTTTTCAGAAGAATGAATAAAATAGGATTTATTGGTTTTTGTTCACAAAAAAGAACATAAGACATTTATCAGAATTCAGCGTCCCTTTTGCAGATAAATTGAAACTCCTCGTTAGGAGGATCGACCCCCCATTTCCCCTTGTCGTTCCAAAGCTGAAATGCATTTCTGATGAAAATCCTTTGATAAAACACTTTGCGTTATTTCACAAAAAGAAATTTGCCCAGATCGATCAAAACATTTTGCGATTAATTCTGCATTGGAAATTGGAATAAGTATCGATGATTTCCCCCTGAAAATCTCACCACAGCGTGGGTGTACGAATCCGGCTCTCCCACCATCCAATTCGTGAAATCCACCGAACTTCCATCCGTCCATTCAAAAGCATTTCCTTTGTCCAGATTTCTCTGAATAAAGAAATTTTTATGTTTAACCTTGATATTTCCATCTTTTTCATTTTAAAACTACTCTAGTTTCCCAATTGAAACATTATTTCTATCAAAGAACTATCAATCAAAGAGCTCATTTTTTCCGAAAATGGCTCAAAGGATCTTTACTTTCTATTTATTTATGTCTTTCAATAAGAAAAGTTCAACCTTCAGTCCTATCCAGAACGACCGATTCGCAGGAAAATTTTTCGCTGAAATAAATATCGGTTGTTTTTGGTTCATAAAGCATAAACTTGTGTGAAAATCATAAATTTTCAGAATTGAATCATTTCGATTTCTTACCGAGTTTCCAAACAAAATCGTTCTCTTCCTGACTGTGAATTGAGACTAAATGGCCCTTTCGACTCGCACAATATGCCTCGGCTTCATCAAATGTCATCCATTGACCAAAACCCTTGAGATGAAGATAATCCTGGTTCACCACATCCACCAACCTTATACCACGAAGCCGTTTTCGCCAAATACGACCATCCATCCCGATACAGATCCAAGAGATTCATCGTCCGATTTCTGAATTTCTTCGAAAAACCTTACTCCAAACAAATATATTGAGCTTGTCAAAAAAGAAAGTTACAAAATTAGTACAATTGGGTTTCGAGATCGTCGTTCTTCCTTTTCGTCTCGGCGATTTTCCTTTCCAATTCTCGATTTCTCTCCCTTTCGTCAACCAAATCGGCCTCCAACTCCGTGATTTTCAAATTCGCCTCGATTTGAACCATGCTTGCTGCCAATTGGCGCATCTCGACGTCTTTGTCCTTTTTGATTTCTTCCCTAAACTCTTCGATTAAATTAAAGACTGTTCTTGATAGAAGCAAAGATTAGGCGAAAAACCCACGAATCGGCTTCGAGTTGAGCGATTTTCTTCAACGAGATGGCCGGTTCTTCTATGCGCTTGACAGTCTTTTCAGGCAATTCTTGAGTCATTTCGGGCATTTCTGGAGATTTGGAAAAAGAAGAGACGCTCTGAAGAGAGCGAGGAGGAAGATTCGAGAGATCGTCCATTTCGTTTGCTAGACAATTGGTTCACTACAAAATGACTGAATTTTCTCGAAGAACAAGTGAAAATTAATGGAAACAGCTACTAAAGAGGCATAATTGATGAGAAAAGATAAAATCAAACAAGAAATTCGGTGCCAAGCAAAATAGCGATTTCTTACCACGGAAAATAAAGAGAACGGAGAGGAATGCCCGATTTACAAACTAATTAACGATTTACAAATGACAGGGAATTTCACTTTGAAACGGCTCAATGCGACGATTTTTTTTTTGGAAAGATGAGCCGTAATGGTGTTCGTTGAGAACAGGAATTGATTCTCCAATCGTCCGTATTTGTTGTGCTCCTCGAAAGAGATTATCAAATGATTTCGATCGATTCCCCCAAAACTTTCGATACAGATTCTGTCCAATTTTCGGAGAAACAAACATTTGTGTTGAGATCGGTGGCTTTCTTCTTCTCCAAGAACATTTCCATTTCCAAGGAAATTAAAAAAATCATTGGCCTTTCAGTCTTGAGGAATCATGAAGCATTGTTGAAGGATTCTTAACAAAACCGTGCTTTCTTTATTTTCAAAAGTAGCCTAAAATAAAAAATAGTCTAATACTTTTGAAGCAAACTTGAAATTCACGTTTCAGCCGACAAAAACGCTCGCAGAGAAGTCCATAAAACCTTTCATAAGTACGTCGCTGTGCACAACAATCAACGAACATGTGAATGAGTTCCGGCTAAAATGAAAAAAATGTGGCTCTTCTCTATTACTAGGTACCTTAAAATTTAACAAAAGCGTGTTCCACGGTTAAAGTACCTAGTAATTGGAAAGAGCCAAAAATGTTTTATATTCTATCAATAAGACCAACCTCCAATTCTGGCTTGACACCCATTTTGAGAAGTTTGTGAGCGGCCCCTTAACAGTAAACAGTAAACAAGCGATGTCAAGTAAACTTCGCGACGGAAAGCAACGAGATTTTGCTCAGTGTTGTCAACGATTTCCATTTGTTGAGGTTGAGCTGAAATAAGTATTTAAATATTGCATTAGATTCGTCTCAAGCTTTATAAAATTTAAATCGATAAAATTGAATGTCTACCGTTTGCAGCTGCCTCATCGTCACCTTCATCCTCCTCTTCTTCTGATTCCTCTTCACTTTCACCGGCGTGACCAATGATTTGTTCACGGTTCTCGTTGCAGGCAGCTTCATTTTTCTCAAAATCGGGATCCAATTTGAAAATGTCTGTAAAGTTTGTTTGAAAACCTAGTTTATCCCAAATAAATTTTTTAGGTAGGTATGTGTAATTTGGTCCTCTTCCGAAAGAAGATCGAGTTGATCAATTAAAGCTGTGTAGTCCTTCAAGAATAAACTTTGCCAGGCAATAGAACTAAAAACTGACCTCAAATCTCTCTCTTATCTCTCCGAATTGCCATTGCAGTTTCAATCATATAACGAATACGTGAATCCAATTGTGCTTCAGCAAGAATGTTTCGAGGTATTGAGAAAAAATTGTCCAAGGCACGCGGGGCAACCTAACAAATCATTTCTCAATAAGCGCTTCTAAATCAAGCAAACCCCTGTCAGTTTCGCGACACATTCTTTCAGAAAAGCAATACACACTCGCACTGAATCATCCGTTGGTGTTTTAAGCATCAAAAGCATGATCTCAAGAGCAAGCAACTCGTGAGCCTAAATATGCATCGAATTCATATTCAAAGAAAAACAGCATACCACTTGTTGATTGATCAAATGTGCGAGAAATTTACTGACAGTCACCGTTGTTGCTTTGTCGTTTCGACGAGAAGATCGCTTGATTTGCACAATCAAACGCCTAAATACATAATTTCTAAAGCCTAAAACTGTGAAGCATACTTAAGTGTCACTTCACCAATTGTTATTGGTGAATTTCTTTTCTTGCATACTTTTTGAGGAGCTTCATTTTCTTTTGCCTTTTTTGGTGATTCTTTACGTTTAGGGGATGGTGACCTAAATCAGCTGTACACAAAGACAATTTTTAAAACTAACCGTCTTCGCCTTTTCGGTGAGCGGTCGCCACCTCTGCGTCTTTCTGGTGAACGTTAATAGTCCCCACGATCATGCTCTCGAGAGCTGCGTCTTTCTTTGAATGGCGATGGGGCATTACTTATGTGGAACACTGTAGGTATTGCGTCTGATTTATGCACCATGAACCGTTAATATAATTAACTCAACAAATTAAACTTTATTCATAAAAATACGGAAGAGATCAATAATAACGTTACACACTCAACAAGTTAGCAAGATGATAAATAATGAAAACTAGGCGATCAACTTTCCGAGTCTTCGGCGCCTCCGATGTAGAGGATGTTGTTGCACCTAGATTTAAACAAATTAGACAAAAGTCACACTAATCACCTTATTAATATTTCCCCCAAAGCTCCAGTGTTTGTTCCATCAATGTATTCCTCCGCGTTAGCCATCTAAAAGATAAAAAATTTATTCGTGAATGCCTAGGCCAAAGCAAGCTTACTCGTCATATATCTGACTGTTCACAAGAGACATAAAAACTAACAAAATTCAGAACGTACCCCCCCCAAACTAGCTTTAAGCTATGCCATAAAAATTTTACACGAAGACAACCCCACCTGGACATTCATGTAACCGTCGACCGAGATGAGGACGCCTCGATATTCCATTCCCCACTTCAATCTGCGCACAACTGGCTTTCCGGCGAGTCCATTGAGGAACGGCTTTGGGTTGACTGGTTGAACAGATATTCTCTGAAAACAAAATTAAAGACGAATTTAAGTAGATAAAACGTTAAAAAGAGCAAGATTGACGTGGGAAGAAGCCCTCGTAGACAAAAAGAACGGTTTTTCGGAATAATTTTTCGAAGAAAAGGATTCTAATACGAGATAGGCATATAACTAGGCGCTTTATGGAGGGACAGTGTGGTTTTTGCACGAGAGAAGAGAAAGGGTGACAGAAATAGAAAAAATGTAAGATTGGCCAATTCAAGAGCACGCGAAAAATAAAATAATTGCTCGACTGAACACTTTTGAACCACTAGAAGTAAGTTAAAGATATTCAGCTAAACGATGAACGTCTGCATTTTTTGAAATAAATACGTTATGAGGGTGCTTTTGAGAAATTTTCGGCGTTAAAGCTTACACCTTTTTAAAGATTTTTTTTATTTCGGTGATAATAGCTGAACACCCCTCTCTTCATCTCCTTATTTTACCTCTTTTTCGTCATAGAAACACACAAGATTGCACGAGAGAAGAGAAAGGGTGACAGAAATTGAAAGGCGTAAAAATGTAAGATTGGCTAATTCAAGAGCAGGCGAAAAATAAAATAATTGCTCCGGGCGGATCTTTTTAAACCACTAACAGTAAGTTAAAGATATTCAGCTAAATGATGAACGTCTGCCTTTTTTTGAAATAAACTGGTTATGAGAGTGACAAATTTTCGGCGCTAAAGCTCACAGCTTTCTTAAACATTTTTTTATTTTGGTGATACTACCTCAACGCCCCTCTCTTCATCTCATTATTTTACCTCTTTTCGTCATAAAAACATACAAAATCATTTAAGCAATTTTTCAAGAGGGCAATACTGGCTTACCCCAACCCCCACTCAAAATTTGCCTCTTTTTTGACTATTTCACCTATAAAGGCATACAAAACATTAGCTTATTTAATTTTTTCCTAAATACTTTAATCTTTCTTCCAAATACAGTCATGGACAAAAGTCTTTACCCCTACCGAGGTCAGCTTTTAAAACGCAAAATTTTTCAACTTTTTAACAAGTTTTAAAAATTGTTTTCAAAGTATTTTGTAGCATTTTTACTCTAGTTTTTATATCCCATAACCAAAAGCAACAACGATTTATTTTAGGCAACAAAGAACGACGTTAACAAAAAAAACCCTCAAAACAGGTGGACAAAAGTCTTTACCCCTCGAACAAAAAGTGAGAAAAAACCGAGTATTTTAATATTTGGTAGGGCCTCCTTTTGATGAAATTATTGCTTGAATCCTTCTCGGCATCGAGTCGACCAAATCCTGTAAAATTTGAGGACCGATCTTTGTCCAGACGTGTCGAATGAAGTACCATAGCTCAATCTTGGTATTGAAGCGTTTTCCCTTCAATTTCAGCTTCAAAAACGCCCACAAATGTTCGATAACGTTCAAATCCGGACTGTAGGGAGGAGCAGATACGAGCTGAACTCCATTCGATCGAAACCATCCGGGTAGACGAGCTCTACCACCGTTGGCAAGGCGAACAACTCGTCCCATTAGCAGTTGCGACTTGTGGCATGGAGCGTTGTCCTGGTACAGCAACCATCCTTGTCCAATTTTTGTGGTCGCAAATGGAAGAAGATCATTCTCCAAAATCGCCTTGTATCGTTGAGCGTCCAAAGTTGAATTGAAAAGAACGAGCGGACCTGGTGAACTTCTAGTCATCGCTCCTGAAAAAAAAAGTCAATAGGCATAAAGGTTAAAGGTTCTTACCCCACAACATGATTGATCCGCCACCAAATTTGACTGTCGCACGAAGGTATTTGGTGCTATATCGTTGTCCGACAGGTCTCCGGATCAAATGATTGCCGTCGGGATTGAAAAGGTTGATCTTCGATTCATCGGTGAAGATGACATTGGCCCAGTCGTTGCTTGTCCAACTTTCATACTTCTTGGCAAAGTCGAGTCGAATCTTCCGGTGTTTGGCGACCATCAGGGGCTTCTTGGCAGGTCTTCTAGTCATCAATCCTGCATGAATCAAATGTCTGCTTACTGTCTTTCGATTGATGTCCTTGTTAAATTGATGCTTGATTAATCTGACTCCATCGGAAGCATTAAGATTTGGATCCTTTTTGTGGGCCAAAATTAGAACCTTGTCTTCTCTTGGTGTTGTGACGGGTGAACGATCTGTTTTGAATGCTCGGTAAAGAATTCCAGTCGTTTTCTCTTTCTTGC